GGCGGCCTCGGTGGGTCGCTGCTCGGTGCCCGAGGGCCCCTTTCCGGGCCACCTGGTGGATGTCAGCGGCACGGGGACCCTGTCCCAGAGCTACCAGTATAGTGTCTGCGGGGAGGTACTGGGCCAGCGAGTTCAAGTTCCTGAAGCCGATTATCACCAATCTCACATCCCAGAGCATAGGCAGGAAAAGTGGAAGAATATCCCTCATATCAGAATGATTTCGGTTTCTGATAAAGAATGAAAAATAAATGCCGGTATTATATCTGTAAATATATTCCTATTAAGAAATTTATCTCGATTTACCGGTAGAGGAGTGCTTTCACATCATTGCAAGTATTCTTAGGGTCATAAATTTCTTGACACAGAAAAGGATTCAGCTTCAGCCCTAAGAACACTCCAAAAAGCATGGATTGTTTACTGTCACCTTTTGTCTCATTTATGCTTTGTGTGCAGTCTATTACATGACACATCTTATTTGAGATGTTTTTAAATTGGAATTCACTGTCTTCAAGTATTATTGCTAGTTTTATTTTGTAAGTTGATTAGAGTGCTCTACAAGTATACCTACCCTAACTTTTAAAAAAAGCACTTACTATGCATCATACACTATTTTACCACTTTTAATTTTAGAAGTAATCCTATGATGGGAGGTATTTTAGAAATGAGCAAATAGATGTTCATAGACGTTCAGTGAGTTCACTAAGGTCACCAACTAATAAATGGCAGAGCTAAGCATCTCTCCTAAATCTTCTGATTCTGGGGCCTTGCTGTGATGCTATACTGTTTTCTCTTGTTAGATATCACCTGGCAAGTTTCTCCCTAATTAAGGAGAAATCTTTTTTTCATACTCATATTCCTGTTCAGTGTTTCGTGTATTTGCAAAGAATAAGATATGTATTTGTGGTTTTATTTTCTTATAAACTAATAATCCAGTTTTTCTGGATCAATTATTCAACTATTATTTTTAAAGCTCTGATCTATCCAAATCTCAAGTACAAAAAAATGAAAGATCAGTCTGTGCTTTCTCCTTGTTATCTGAATATGTGACCTTAATTTCACAGAAAAGATTAATGACCATGAATAGAAATATTACATAATTTTGATCGCTTCATTTGTTTATTTTCCTCACATTGCAGTAATTTTCCTACAGTAGTCCCTACCTTTTTAACACGTTTTTCTCCTTTAATTTGAAAGTTTATTTTTTAAAGTTTCTATTCAATATACTTCAGTGCTGAATCGGAAAAGTATAAGAAAAAGAATACTTTTAAATATGCAATATTAAAGAGAAACAAATTATCATTGAATTACTTAAAGATTCTGGAGAGTTAAGGAGAAGCTTTGTTTGTTATAATAATCTGTAACTGCTTTTTCTTTAACAGTTATCCAGATCATTTTTGCAGAGCTGTATTCTGAATATATCATAAGCTAGTGCTGATAACTCTTAAAATAGTAATATTACTGTGCATTACTAATGGGATATAGTCTAACGACAAAAAATAAAGAACCTCACAGCATTAAAATCTTAAATTGTTTCCATAGCGTCAGGATAAAATTATTTAGTTTTTCAAGCAAATCAATGGCATGGAAAAGGGGAGGAGGGAATCTTGCACAATGAGAGAAATTAAGACATACCAACCAAATGCAATGGATAGTGGATCTTGTTTAATCTTGATTCAAACAATCAACGACTTTGAAATAATTGGAAAAATCTGAATATAGATGGGATATTAAACAATATTAACTTCATTTCTTAGGTGTGGTAAGGGCATTGTAGTGGGTTTTTTAAGACATTAAAAGTTAGAGATTTATAATGAAGTTTTATGGGTAAAAATTTAGTTTGGGATGTGAAAATGTTGGGGAGACAGGGTAAACAATTGTAGCAAAATATTGATAATTGTTCTAGCTAGTTATGAGTACCTGGGGGTTCATCGTACTATTCTCCTTCATTATGGGGTTTGAAAATTTTCAAAATAAAAGGTTTTTAAAAATTGACACTGTAAGAGAGATGAGGACACCCTTCTGAGATACAGAATCATCACCACCATCACAGATTATACATGTATTAGAAAGATTCTCCAGCCTTTCCGGTTTCATCGTTTGATATGATAACTTCATTCTGAAATAATGCTGCTCATGAATTATTCTACCACGTGAATCTTGGGGTTTTTTTTAGTCATGACAATGGATTAATGCAAACTGAGCTACCTGATGGCATCACATTACATGCCTGGTGTGTGTGTGTGTGTGTGTGTGTGTGTGTGAGGTTAATCTCTCTCTGCCTCAGTTTCCCCATCTGTAAGGTGAGGAACTCACAGCAGCCCTATGTAGTAAGTACCATTAATATCTCCACCTTAGATGAGAAAACTGAGGCAGAGGTTAAATAACGTGTCCAAGGTTCACAGCTACTAATTATTCCCATAGTTCATGGCAATAAAAGTATATAATTCTGAAAGTTTTCTATGTTATTATATATATATTTAAATTTCTGCATATAGTCTTTATATATATTATATATATATTTAAATTTCTGCATATAGTCTTTATATATATTATATATATATTTAAATTTCTGCATATAGTCTTTCTTCTCAGGCAAACTGTTACATAAATATTTTCTTTTTGCTACAAACGCAATTAGCATTATTGAAAGTAGTCTCTACTAATATCATTTCTCCTGTATGGCCCTCAGACAATTGCCTCAACCTTAAGGTTCAGAGATAGTAAAAATAGTATTGTAGCCTTACATAGCTTGGTGATACGTACTGGCAAGAGTTGGGAACATTGGGGAGTTCCCTGGTGGTCCCGGCTTCAGTCCCTGGTCGGGGAACTGAGATCCCGCAAGCCACGCGGCTCAGCCCAAATTAAAAAAAGCAAAACAAAAAGAGCTGGGAACATTGCATCCATTTTCAACCCAGAAAATGTAAGATCCTCTGAGGACGCGTGGTGGCGCTGCAAGATAAGGTACAAACCGGAACCGCTGCTGCGTCTCCATTAACAGGCAAAACTCAACAGCAGAGCCTGGAAGCCCATGAGAAGCTTGGATGCCACAGAAGGAGGACTGGGTCCTCTGTAAAGGACTACTCACTGGAATATTTCTGAAGTACCTTGTGGAATAACTACAGACTCAGAAACGTACTGAGGCCTTTACAGCTCAGCGGAACCACCCTCGCCAGAGGCTATACCGAGCAAGAACAATGGAGGTTGGCAGGAAGCTCATTTGCAGACAAAGGCAAGTCTTTTTCTTCTTTTTCTTCTTGGGCTTAGCTCAGGCGGGCTCTGAATTTAGGCGTTATTCTGTGGTGGAGGAAACTGAAGGGAGCTCTTTTGTAACCAATTTAGCAAAAGACCTGGGTCTGGGGCAGGGGGAACTTTCCAGGCGGGGAGCTAGGGTCATTTCCAAAGGAAACAAACTGTATCTGCAGCTCGATCAGGAGACTGGGGATTTACTGCTAAATGAGAAACTGGACCGCGAAGAACTGTGTGGTCAGACAGAGCCCTGTATGCTGCGTTTCCAGGTGTTGCTAGAGAATCCCTTAGAGTTTTTTCAAGCTGAGCTACAGGTAATAGACATAAATGACCATGCTCCGGTGTTCATGGACAGAGATATGTTGCTAAAAATATCAGAGAGCAGTCCTCCTGGGACTAAGTTTCCTCGAACGCTCAGGACATGGATGTAGGCCGAAACAATATTGAAAACTATACAATCAGTCCCAACTCCTATTTCCGGGTCCTCACCCGCAAACGCAGCGATGGCAGGAAATATCCGGAACTTGTGCTGGACAAAGTGCTGGATCGGGAGGAGGAACCTGAGCTCAGGTTAACCCTCACTGCTCAGGATGGCGGTTCTCCACCCCGGTTTGGCACCGCTCAGGTCTCCATCGAAGTCGTGGACATCAACGATAATGCCCCTGAATTTGAGCCGCCTTTCTATACGGTGCAGATCCCCGAGGACAGTCCCATAGGCTACTTGATTGTCAAAGTCTCTGCTACGGATATAGACATAGGAGTCAATAGAGAGATTTCCTATTCACTTTTCCAGGCTTCAGAAGAGATTAGCAAAACCTTTGAGATCAACGCCATGACAGGAGAAATCCGACTGAAAAAACAACTTGATTTCGAAACAACTCAGTCTTATGAGGTCAATATCGAGGCCAGAGATACTGGAAGTCTTTCTGGGAAATGCACCGTTCTGACTCAAGTCATGGATGTGAACGACAATGCTCCAGAAATCACCATGTCTGCACTTACCAGGCAGATCCCCGAGAACTCTCCTGAGACTGTGGTTGCAGTTTTCAGTGTTTCAGATCTTGATTCTGAAGAGAATGGGAAAATAAGTTGCTACATTCAGGACGATCTACCTTTTTTCCTTAAATCTTCCATGGAAAACTTTTATACCCTAGTAACAGAGAGACCGCTAGACAGAGAGACCAGAGCAGAATACAACGTCACCATCACCGTCACGGACTTGGGGACACCCAGGCTGAAAACCGAGCACAACATAACCGTGCTGGTGTCCGACGTCAACGACAACTCCCCCGTCTTCACCCAGACCTCCTACACCCTGTCCGTCCTCGAGAACAACAGCCCCGCCCTGCACATCGGCAGCGTCCGCGCTACAGACAGAGACGCGGGCGCCAACGCCCAGGTCACCTACTCGCTGCTGCCGCCCCTCGACGCGCACGTGCCCCTGGCCTCCCTGGTGTCCATCAACCCGGACAACGGCCACCTGTTCGCCCTGAGGTCCCTGGACTACGAGGCCCTGCGGGCGTTCGAGTTCCACGTGGGCGCCGCCGACCGCGGCTCGCCCGCACTCAGCAGCCAGGCGCTGGTGCGCGTGCTCGTGACGGACGACAACGACAACGCGCCCTTCGTGCTGTACCCGCTGCAGAACTCCTCGGCGCCCTGCACCGAGCTGGTGCCCAGGGCGGCCGAGGCGGGCNCTGGTGTCCGACGTCAACGACAACGCCCCCGCCTTCACCCAGACCTCCTACACCCTGTCCGTCCGCGAGAACAACAGCCCCGCCCTGCACATCGGCAGCGTCTGCGCCACAGACAGCGACGAGGGCGTCAACGCCCAGGTCACCTACTCGCTGGTGCCGCCCCTCGACGCGCACGTGCCCTTGGCCTCCCTGGTGTCCATCAACCCGGACAACGGCCACCTGTTCGCCCTGAGGTCCCTGGACTACGAGGCCCTGCGGGCGTTCGAGTTCCGCGTGGGCGCCGCCGACCGCGGCTCGCCCGCGCTCAGCAGCCAGGCGCTGGTGCGCGTGCTCGTGACGGACGACAACGACAACGCGCCCTTCGTGCTGTACCCGCTGCAGAACGCCTCGGCGCCCTGCACCGAGCTGGTGCCCAGGGCGGCCGAGGCGGGCTACCTGGTGACCAAGGTGGTGGCGGTGGACGGAGACTCGGGCCAGAACGCCTGGCTGTCGTACCAGCTGCTCAAGGCCACGGAGCCCGGCCTGTTCGGCGTGTGGGCGCACAACGGCGAGGTGCGTACGGCCCGGCTGCTGAGCGAGCGCGACGCGGCCAAGCACAGGCTGCTGGTGCTGGTCAAGGACAACGGCGAGCCGCCGCGCTCGGCCAGCGTCACGCTGCACGTGCTGCTGGTGGACGGCTTCTCGCAGCCCTACCTGCCGGTCCCTGAAGCGGCAGTGGCGTACGCGGTCCCGGCCGCCCCGCTCACCGTCTACCTGGTGGTCGCCTTGGCGTCGGTGTCGTCGCTCTTCCTCTTCTCGGTGCTGGTGTTCGTCGCGGTGCGGCTGTGCAGTAGGGGCGGGGCGGCCTCGGTGAGTCGCTGTTCGGTGCCCAAGGGCCACTTTCCGGGCCACCTGGTGGACGTCAGCGGCACGGGGACCCTGTCGCAGAGCTACCAGTATGAGGTGTGTCTGACGGGAGGCTCCGGGTTACATGAATTTAACTTCTTGAACCCGATTCTCCCTAGCGGTCTGGTTCAAGACTCTGGGCAGGAGTAGTGCAAAAAGGCAATTTCAAATATAGCGTAGGTTTCATTAACAGAAGAATCAGAAAGTTGTCTGGCTACGAATGCTTTCTTTTAAGTCAAGGCTCTTGAGTTGATAAAGTATTTTGTTTATATTTTGATTTTACTTTCTGTCTAGTTAACCCTGCATGTTCTTTTTTCATCTGCTTCCTACCTTTTCAATCCAGTATTAATGCCTCTTTCTTTTTCTAATAGGTGAGTAAAAATAAATGCATTATCTTTTAATGATGATTTCAAATAGGTTTATTTAAGGTAGTCATTTCAAATTCTCTATCCAAAGCAATGTAGAGAGAGTTCTGAACCACCAATATTATAATTTACCCTATTGAATATAGTCAGGTAATATTCTTTATAATACTCCTAAAGCAACTTTGTCTGTGGTTAATGAAGTAGATAACTAAAAATGTTTTAATATGTACCATTTTAAGGTGTATCATCCTGTAGGGGCTTAGTACTCAAATAAAACTTACACATGTAATTCATTTTCTGCTTTGACATTTCCAACTAATATTTCAACACTGTATATACTTATATTGGCTAAAATTGGACAAAAAATGTAGGTTAACAGGTCAGATTACTGTTAGATTTGCCTAAAGTGTATTTATGACGGATGACTGAGAAAAAAAATTAAACATAGGCATTTTGAACAACTGATCGTGCTTTTCCGTTTGGCATGAAAAGATTATTTAATAAGCGTCTGGTGGAATGACAATTTGTTTTTTAACTTCTGAGATGTAAGTATTATCAACCTGAGGGCCATTTTAAAAAAATTTCAAGAAAGTACATGTATATATGCTCTCTAAATGCTTTATAGCAAAAGTGGTGTCCCATCCAATCCTACTTTAAAAAAATTAATATCTACTTGGCATTTATATGGTGATATATGAAGGAAATATTTTCTTTGTTTCCTCTCTTAGTTCCCTCCTTCAGATTTCAACCTGACATGACTTAGGATTATGTATGGTCCTTCTGGGATAAACACTGCCCAACCACATCAGCATTCTACCTCCTACAGAGTAATTAAAAGAAGATTAGAAGAATGGGAAGTTCTAAAGGGGAGAGAGCGATATCACTGTGAAAGTCTAAATTAACTACAACTAAGAATAAACTCTTGAAGCAACCAAACATTACTTTTTATGTCTATTTTGAATGAAATAGAAAAAACCCCTTATTTTAAAGTACAAAATATTTAGTCCCCAATTAAAAAATCTGATTAGGAAAAAATAAAATTTCTCCTCATAGGCATTTTCTCATCCAGAGGCATAGAACTTTCCAGAAATTGAATACTCATGACTAGAAGAAAGAGAACTGAAGTTTCTCAAAGATTTTGAAAATTCTCAAAAGAGAAAAAGAATGTTGTTAACTAGATGTTAACTAGACTTATGTCATCATTTGCAATATGCACAAATATCAAATCATTGTCACACCTGAAACTAATATAGTGTTACCTGTCAATTATAGCTCAAAAATTTAAAACCCCTTAATGACTGTAAAAAAAAACAAAAAAATTTAATACTGACATGTCTTCAATCACACATAAAGTTATCATCATATTAAAATGGTGTTATTTTATGTATGAGAGTCAAATACATGAATCCTTAGTAATCAGGGGAAAGACAGTATTTCCTTTCACTCATTAAGTACTTTATAGAGATATTGAATCTGGCTCTTGGGTCAGATTTTTTTTTCTTCTTTTCATACTTAGCTGAATTTTCATGAAGATCAGAGAAAAGGCAAAGAGTTCTGATCAAGACTTCTCTGTAGTTGGCTGGCTTAGTTCCAGCTCATGTCAGAGCCAGGGAAGTTTTCAACTACAGAAAATATGGAGGCCAGTTCTTTTTTGGCCAATATGGTATATGATTTTGGACTCAAATTGGAGGCACTATATAACCGGGGAGTTATTTAGACCCAGACATAAGAAGAACAGATACTTAATAATATCTTAGTTGATAGATGCACTGAATTCACATATTGTTGAGAAGTGATCAGAGTTTAGTAAAGCCAGAAAAGATCATATGGACTAAATTTGAAGATAGGAAAAAATTATACCTTACTCTTGGTTCAAAGTTGCTTTTATTTCTTGGCTATTGGAAACCTTTTACCCTTTTATTTGAAGACAACTTTCAGAAACTTCTTTACCTGGATATTATATTAAGTACATGACAGAGAGGGCACTATATGTATAGTACTAACTATCTTTGCCACTTTTTGGAATTCCCCCAAGCGAAAGTCCAGCACTAGGTAAAAATGATGACTTTCTACGTTCATAATAATTTCCCAGTAGTTTTTCTTTTAAAGGATGGACAAATTCATTACTGTGAATTATTTCCAGATTGATCTCTTACTAATATTCTAATCTAGTTTTTAATACTGAAAGGCAAAGAGATGAAAATGAACTTTAAACTTTTATGTAGAGTTGTTAAAAGACTAAACTATATTCAGATATCACTCATTAAAACTAGTGAACTAACTTACCACACTTTTAATAAATCTTCCTTAATCCTTGAATATGGCTTCCTTGCAAATGGGGACTTTAAAAAATGAAAGTTTAAAAAAATATATTCCACTACTATATTTTGCTTCTTAGAGTAGATTGTTACATGTTTTAAAGCTGGCAACCTATTAGGCATAATTCAGTTATTTCTATGTCTAATCCTCATGTTCTCAGCCAATAGCTTGGTTGGTCATAGATTTTAAAATGTAAACTAGGGACTTCCCTGTTGGTGCAGCAGTTAAGAATCCGCCTGCCAATGCAGAGGACACGGGTTCGAGCCCTAGTCTGAGAAGATCCCACATGCTGCGGAGCAACTAAGCTCGTGAACCACAACTACTGAGCCTGCGCTCTAGAGCTCACAAGCCACAACTACTGAAGTCCACGCGCCTAGAGCCCATGCTCTGCAACATGAGAAGCCACTTCAATGAAAAGCACGCGCACCGCAACGAAGAGTAGACCCCGCTCGCCGCAACTAGCAAAAGCCCGTGCACAGCAACGAAGACCCAACGCAGCAAAAAAATAAAGAAATTTATATAAAAAAATAAAATGTAAACTAATTTTCCTTCTCCCTCTTTTGGTATTGAAGACTGTTGATGAACAGTCTATCAGTCTAGTTCTCATTCTTTTATCTGTAAACTTCTTTACTCTAAGATGTTTTCTTTATTCTTGATGTTCTGATATTTGCTAGGTCTAAACCTGAGATTCACCCAATATACTGAATTTTTTTAAATTAACTATAGTTTTTGGTGGGCTTTTTTCCCCCAAAATTTCCATTTGGCAGGTTTTCACAACAATTTGTTCTTTTTTTTTTTTTTTTAAACAATTGCCGTCTCCTTCTTTTTTGTTGGAGGAAATTAAATATCTTTTACTTTTAAGTTCTTTCCATATTGTTCCAATCTCTGTTTCTTCTGTATACATCTTTTATTTGTTGAGTCTGTTTTTCACACTGTTAGTCTTGTTAGTTGGTGATATTTTATTGAGAACTCATGTTCTATTGGAGGTTTCCCTCATACCATTACTGGTTTTGGTAGCCTTGCAAAGGGAGGAAGGAGTCTCAAAGTGGTTACAGCCTCAGGCTCTACAAATCCAAGCCTTAATTA